TCTCCCCCTGCAGTTTTTGGAATGCCGGCAGATCCACTGAACCCCCGAAATCAGGTTTCGGTAGTCCCCACCTCTTGTCACATGTTCCCTCATCACAGTGTAGGGATGCTGGCTCTGAAATAGGCCAGCTCTCACCCCAGTCCTGGCTCAGTCTCATTCACTCTGCCCAGAAGACAGGCAGGAGCTCTGGTCCCGACCCCTGGAGCAGAGTGGGTTTCATCCCAATAGTTGGCGAGAGTAGGTGGTGTGAGGAGCTGCAGAAGAAACCAGGACAGGGCCAGGCACAGTGGCTCAACCCTATAATCCCAGCACTTTGGAAGGTCGAGGTCAGGAGTTCAAGACCAGCCTGGCCAACATGATGAAACCCTGTCTCTACTAAAAATACAAAAATTAGCCAGGCATGATGGTACACACCTGTAATCCCAGCTATTTGGGAGGCCGAGGGATGAGAAGCGCTTGAACCTGGGAGGTGGCGGCTGTAATGAGCCAAGATTGCACCACTGCATTCCAGCCTGGGCAACAGAGCAATACTCCATCTCAAAAAAAAAGAAAAGGCAGGCACACGCCCCTCACCCCCTCCATGTCACAGCACAGGTCAGAGCACATGGAGAGCACCAGCTGGGAGTGCTCTGGTCTGCTGTGTCCAGACTTTTCTGGGGGCTGAGGGACACACCAGCCTGGATGGACCTTCTTGTCTGCATGTTAAGTTAGGAGGTCTGCTAGGTGCTAAAGCACTCGACTAGCTACTCCCTGCAGTGCCACAGAATGGTCACTGGGACCTAGGACTGAGCTGCCCTGCTCTGAGGTTGGGGATGAGGGGTGGGGGAGGGCCCAGGTCTCCTTGTCTCCAGAGGAAATGTTGCCCTCATTCCACCTTGAAAACTCTGTTCTTGGCAAAGTAAAAGGAAGAAAGCCTCTGACCAGGGCAGAGAGAGTTGACACTGCTGTGCTGCAGATGGAGGTTGAGGGTCCCTTGGCTGCAGCTCAGACAATCCTTTTGCCCAGCCCAGCCTAGCCTCTCTAGCTTCCCAGGACAACAGGGCAGAGGCAAGCCCCATCGTCATAAAATAACAGGATGTTAAAGCCAGCTGGAAGGGACCAGAAGGACGCCTTGCCAACCTGTCATTTTAGCTATGAAGATATACAGTTTGCCTGTGAGAATCTCCAATCCCCTACACACTGCAAGTGTTTTGTATAAAAATGAGGTGCCTGAACTCATATCTTGATAAATGGTAAAATTCCTCTCCCGTCCCCTCTCTGATCTTGAACTCCCTTCCCATCTCCATTGGAAATGGCATGTGAACTGCTTGTTCCAAACCCAGAGGAGCAAAGGTGATTTATGTCAGCAGAGCTATGTCAAAATTGCTCTGATCAAAAGGTGACAGTGCCCCCACATTAGGGCATGACTTCCAGTGAATGGAAGTCATGCTTCTACCCAGTGCCCGGCCTGGGCAGACTGGCCTTCAGGCAAGCCCCAGAGGGGTTAACTGAACCCTTTCATCCCATGTGGTTTGATGTCCCTATGCACCAATTTATGTCCCCAAAAAGGACTTGGGCAAACCTAGGGTTGGGGGCCAGTGGTGGTACTAATCTCCAAGGACTGTGCAGTCTAAGCCCCTCCCATGTGATACCAAGGAGAGTGAGTGGAGGTGGGGATGGCTTGGAGGGGCTGCTATTCTAATCTTTCCCATCCCTCCCGGTTTATCTCAGTTTACCGCCAGGGGGCACAGTGTGGAAATGACAACCCTGGACTCCTGGGGTTGGGGGGTAGGAAAGAGTAAGGGACTTCTGGATTGGTCTTGACAGCCACGTGGCCCTGTTGCCATTAGCTGTAGGGGCCCTGAAGCCCGATGCTACTCTGGCTTTATTCAGGGACACCACCCCGCCACAAACACTCAAACAACTTAACAGGGCATGTTGTCTGACTGTCCAGAGCCCAACCTGAGTGAAAAGCTGCCCCAGGAAGCTGGATGTCTCGTCAGCTAGGGCCTGAATCTGGTACTCCTGGGAGTCCAATGGATACCCCCTGCTCTGGGAGGGGACAGGGTGGCATCCAGCTGTCCAGCTGTCCAGGTGCTGACGCGAGGCGCACCCCAGAGCTGCTCAGGTTTCCCCCCACTGGGCCTAGCCCAGCGGCTGAGCCAGCATCTCAGGCATCCGCAGGCTAAATAAAGAGCCTGCTTGGGTCAGAGGGTGGGGGATGGGGTCCCGGGGGGCTTGGGGCAACCATGCCAAACAAGGCAAGGAGGGGAGCGATGTATAAAACAGAGCCCAGGACTGAGCACCTGCCTGCACCCCTACTGTGCCATCCAGAAGGGCTCTGCGCTGCCTGCAACCCAGCCAGTCGACTCAAGTCCTAGGTCGATCCCTCCACGGTGAGTCCGATCCTCAGAGAAGCTGAAGACACTCCCATTCCCCCACCCCACTGAATGTTCTGACCAGGGAGGAAAAGGGCTGAAGGTGGGAGTCTCTGTCTCAATCTGGACTCCCACATTTGTTGCCCACTCCCAGATGTCTAAAGCAGCTCCTGCCAAAAAGCCAGTGGCTTCTGCCCCACCTCCTGGATGTACCCTGGACATCAATGACCCACAGGTCCAGAGTGCGGCCATTCGCATCCAGGCCTCTTACCGGGGCCACAGGTGAGAGGGAGCCCCGGAGCCCTGCGGAGGAAGGGAGCTGCAGAGAGCACATTCTTGAATGGGGTTTGGGGGAGCCCTGAGCGAAGTCAGGAACCTCTGAAATGACTGGTCTTAGGGGAGGGTCGTTACTGAGGTGTGGAGGAGTGGCCGGTAGGAATGGATCATCCTATCAGGGCAGCAGTTCAGGAGCAGTCCTCTTCCCCTCAAGCCCCACGTTTAGGGGTCTGGCGGGCCCAGGGGGCAGGCAGGAGATGGTGCGCTCGAGGAAAGGGCTATGGCTGGGCCTGTCCTGAGAGCTCTGGGCCCTGACTCGGCCCTCGGGTAGGTCCCGAAAGGAGCTGCGCGAGAAGGGGCCGCCGCGGGTGCTGGAGCCGCTGAAGGACGTGGTGCTGATCGAGGGCAGCGCGGCCAAGCTCACTTGCCGCATTTCGGCTTTCCCGGACCCGTTCATCCGCTGGAGTAAGGACGGCAAGGAGCTGCGTGACGGGCCCAAATACCGCTACGTGTTCGAGGACCCTGACGTGGTGGCACTGGTGGTGCGCGACGGCGAGCTGGCAGACCTGGGCCAGTACAGCATCAACGTCACCAACCCCTTCGGCCAGTGCTCCGACTCGGCGCGCATCCTCGTGGAAGGTACGCGCGCGCCGGGCGCAGCGCCAGGGCGCAGACCAGCTCCACTCAACCAGAGCCCGCATCCCTGTCCAGCTGCTCGTGTTTAGCCCTGGGCCTAACTATAGGGTCCCCACCAGCCCAGCCCCAGGCACAGCCTGGGGCGCATCGCTGCGCCAGCCAACGTCCTTCCCTACCTCGGGATCCAGCCCCACCCGGGCAGAGCAGTCTGCCGTGGGCTTCCATCACGCGGCTCCAGGGCCCCAAGGTCACACAGCAAGCCAGGGGCAGAGCCAGGGTTAGACCCGGGTCTTCTGGCTACCAACTCAGGGCAATTTCCACTACCCAGAGCGGTATCTGAGGCACCGCGAGATGTGTGAACATTCAGGGCTTTCGCTCGCTTTATCGCTCTTGATCCTCTATTCGACCCGGAGAAGTAGGAGGGGTAAGGATAAGTCCCTTTAACGGCCCAGGAGATGAAACCAGAGAGGCTAATGATTCGCTCAACGTCACACTGCGAGTTTAAATGCATCTGTATTTAGTGCCGGGTATCAGCTGGGGAGGTGATGACCTTGTCGTGCCTCATCTCCAGGTCCATCACGGGGTCTCGCTCCCCTTTCCTTCCTCTAGTCCCGGCGAAGATTCAGAAGGGACCCGACAACACTAAGGCGCGCAAAGGCACCACCGTGACGCTGACTGCAGAGATCCTGGGAGAGCCCGCGCCCGACGTGGGCTGGACCAAGGACGGGGAGGACATCGAGGAGGACGACAGGCGAGGGCCGGGACCTGCAGCACGGGCAGGGCCTGGGGCTGGGACCTGGGTGGGACTGAGCCCAGAAATTCGGCGGGAGTGACAGGGGCGGAGACTGGGCGGCGAGGAACATAGCTGGGTAAGGAGCCCGGCCCAGTGCGCCGGGTACTGATCGCGGCTCCGCCCTCCTCCCCACCGCTCCTCCGCCCCTCCGCAGGGTGTTCTTCGAGATCGGCAGCACCACCACGACGCTGACCATTCGCCGGGCCACGCCCCAGGACAGCGGCAAGTACGAGGTGTACGTGGAAAACAGCCTGGGCATGGACCAGAGCTTCGCTCGCGTGGACGTGGCCTGAGCAGCACCCCTAGACCTTCCACCCTGGCGCCGAGCCCGGGGGTGGGTTCCAGCTTGCTTAATAAAGCTGCTCTCTGACCCTCCGCGTCTGTTCTGCTCTTCCGCATCGCCATCTCCTCTCCCCCGCACCCGCGCCCACACGTATTTCAGACCCCCACGCCGAGGTCACAGCCTGTTGGAGTCACGGGGAATTCTGGAGAGGGCCTAGCGGCGTGCTGCATTTCACACAGTCAACCTGATAGGGTTGCCCTAGCCGTCCAAGGCGCCCTCACTTCCCAGCGGGACCAGGGGCGGCGGCCGGGACTCTGCCTTCTCCTCTTTTGAGCGCCTCCAGCCCCAGCCCCTCGTGGCTGTTTGCCCTTGGCCCTGCCCCTTCCAGGGCTGGCCACACCCCCTTCTGTCTTCAGTGCCGTTTTCCTCTGGGTCCCAGTTCCTCACTTCGGCTGCAGGCCCACGACCCATTCCCCAACAGCTCGGGCTCCAGTCTTAGGTTCCAGTGTCTCCTTCTCAGGCCCCACCCTTCCTCTCGTTTAACCCACCTTCGATCCCTTGGCCACGCCCCCAGGCTTCAGCACCGCTCTCCTCGCCCATAAAGTTAGAAAGCCGGGAAAGGTTCAGACTACAATTCCCGACAGACCCTGCGAATGAGTTCTCGCGAGTTGCGAGAAGACACGTGCGCGGAAGGAGCTTGCAGTAGCTGGCGGCAGAGCTGGAGTAAAGGGAGCTAGTGGTAAAGTGAGCTGGTGGAGCGGTGGCGGAAGGGGTAAGGGGCAGGTGACGGCCTCGAGACGGAGGGCGGGCTCCGAGGTCCCGGCTGGCCCTCAGTGCGCCCGTGCCTGTGTTGGTCCCACAATCCTTGGCAATGAGAGGCCAGGGTTCATTGTACAGAGTCACTTGTGGGGTTGTGAAAGTCAGCAATCAATTAGTCCTCCGAATCCAGAGATTGAGACCCAGTCGTCCGTATTAGGACTGGGGCGGGGTCGGTAGTTTCAGTGTTTGGGATGCCAAGGGAACCTGTCTTTTGATTTGGGGTTCAACATATAGAGGTTAGTTTTAGGATTCATGTTCAACATATAGAGGATTTTTTGCTGGAATTAGGGGTTCATCAAATTCAGATCAGTATTCACTACTTGGGGATTATGTTCAGGATTGAAGTGAAATATCTGAGGCTCAGTCGGGGTTTGCTGTTCAATATTCAGGGTTCACTATTGGGATTCAGGGCTTAATATAGAGAATGAAGACACAACACTTGGAATCAGTGGGTTTGAGGCTTCAGTATTTTGAGATTTGGGGTCTGAGAAGGAGGGTCTCTGCCAGGTTTCTGAATTTGCAGAATTTATTCATGGCCAGAGGGAAGTCTTTTAGAGATCAAATTGTGGGATATGAATTTCAGAATTTGGGAGGAATCACTGTGAGGTTTGAAGGCCGACTGGAATCTGGGTTGGGATTTGAGATGTGTGGGATTTGTGAGGTTCTGTCCAGGCAGGGACTATATTGAGCTTTGGGTTTACATCTTGGGGGAGGGCTAAGTGCTGCTATTTGGGGTTTGGGGTTTGGTTGGGGTGTGAGATCTGAGCTTGATTTCTCTGCCGGGATTTGAGATGTGTGGGATTTGTGAGGTGTTGGGTCCAGGCAGAGACTATATCGAGCTTTGGGTTTACATCTTGGGAGAGGGCTAAATGTTGCTATTTGGGTTTTGGGGCTTGGTTGGGGTATGAGATCTGAGCTTGACTTCTCTGTTGGGATTTGAAGTTTAGGTAGCAGTCACCATCATGCTCAAAGCGGTGATCCTGATTGGAGGCCCTCAAAAGGGTGAGGTTACAGGGGAATGGGGGGAGGTTGGGCTGGAGTGGTAGGTGGGATGGGGGCAGAGGAAGGCAGGAGGCTCTGAAATGTTCTCCCCTCTCCTCTCCCAGGAACTCGCTTCAGACCTTTGTCTTTTGAGGTGCCCAAACCACTGTTTCCTGTGGCAGGGGTCCCTATGATCCAACACCATATTGAGGCCTGTGCCCAGGTAACCTCCAGGGTCCCCTCTCTCACTTCACTTCCTGCTCATCTTCATGCTGTATTTCCCCCTTTTCCAACCAGGCATAACTCCAAGGACCATCATTCACAGATGACAATGTGAATGGCACCCCCTCAAGTTATGCGGTACAGCTGCCCTGCTGTCTTCCCCAATCTAGTTTCTCATCTGGCCTCTTCCTGCTCAGATTTCACTCCTATTTTTAAAGTAGGGAATGTGAGATCAGACAAGGATCTTGGAGACAATGTAAAGCCGTGGTGGCATGGAGACCAATGATAACCAAACACAAATTCATATCCTTGACCACCATGATACTCATTTATTTATTGCTTTTAGTATTGAGACAGGCAAGGTTTTGGCGTGAATTCAGTCGCTGCCTGCTGTGAGGCCTGAACAAATATCACACCCTCTCTGACACTCAGTTACCTTATATGTAAAATGGGGGTGATCAGAGCTACTTTGTTGGGTGGTGAAGCTTAGAAATGACATTTGTAAAATGCCTAGCACAACACCGACCCTTGATAAATGGTACCCTTACCTCATGCTTATCTCAAGCTTAGGCTGATGGATAGTAAAGGGGGGAAATGGATTAATGCAGCTTGGTAGGCAAAGTCTTTCTTAGAGTGAGTCCCAGTTCAGGTTGGTGGGGGTTATAATAATTGATTGAAAGTTTAGGCCTAGCACAGTAGCTCATGCCTGTAATCCCGGCAGTTTTTGAGGCCAATCCAGGAGGATCGCCTGAGGCTGGGAGTTCTAGCCCAGCCTTGGCAACGTCGGGACACCCCTTCTCTACAAAAAGTTTAAAAATTAGCTAGGCGTGGTGGCCTGGCTGTAGTCCTCGTTGCTCTAGAGGCTGAGGCAGGTAATGGCATGGCTGTAGTCCTCGATATTCAGGAGGCTCAAGTGGGAGGATTGCTTGAGCCCAGGAGGTAGAGGCTGCAGTGAGCCAAAAATCACACCACTGCACTCCAGCCTGGGCAACAGAGCAAGACCCTTTCTCATAAAAACAAAACAAAACAAGAAAACATCAGGCCTTCAACTTTCTCCAACTCCTCATTGTCAAGAGGAGAAAACAGCCCAGTGTGTCAAGTGCCCTGGGGCCCCACAGCTGAGACGGAAACTGGTTTCTAGACTTTGGGCCAGCACCAAGGATTTCCCCACCATCCCCTCCTATTAGATATTTTTCCTCCCAGCCTCTTCCCTTGTCCTCAGGTCCCTGGGATGCAGGAGATTCTGCTCATTGGCTTCTACCAACCTGATGAGCCCCTCACCCAGTTCCTCGAAGCTGCCCAGCAGGAGTTTCACCTTCCGGTCAGGTGTTTATGCACACATTCATATACGGGGGCGGGGTGGGAATGCCCGAGGCCTCTGAATTCTTGGGAGTGGGTTGAGTCAGCATTTGCTGGAGTTCATCCTCACCTACTAGAAGGGTTATTTGGACATCTCTGAATTCCTGAATATATGGAGTTTCTCTGTGGACCTTGGGCAGGAGTACTCCTGGGAGCAGGGGCAGTCAGATGCCCTGGCTCACGGTATCTGTCTCATCAGATCCACTGAGCTGGCTCTGGGGTCCCTGGGGACAGGTACCTGCAGGAATTTGTCCCCCTAGGCACAGGGGGTGGTCTCTACCATTTTCGAGACCAGATCCTGGCTGGGGGCCCCGAGGCATTCTTCGTGCTGAATGCCGATGTCTGCTCCGACTTCCCCTTGAGTGCTATGTTGGAAGCCCACCGGCACCAGCGTCACCCTTTCTTACTCCTTGGCACAACGGTGAGGGGGCCAGGAGGGCTGGAGGGTGTAGAGGAGGTAATTTTAAGAGCTTGCTGGAATGCAGGGTGTTAGGGAGGCCGGGGCACCCTGGGAGTTGGTGTGGGAGCTGGCGTCAGGAGGGAGATGCGCTGCTCTGGCAGGCTTGGAGGTGTTAGTGGAGACCCCGAGCCCTCTGGCTGTTCAGAAGTAGGGAGGGGGAGGGCAGCTGTCAGTTTCCACCCTTGCTGAAGGCCTGTCAGTGGCAGAGCTGCATGCCAGGTGCTGTAGGGGAGGGAAAGGAAGAAAAACAAACCTGGCTGCCCTGGAGCAGGCGGGTCACTGTCTCGGGTGTGTCTGTCTTTCAGGCTAACAGGACGCAATCCCTCAACTACGGCTGCATCGTTGAGAATCCACAGACGCATGAGGTGAGAGCAGAAAGGGGGCTGGGTGGGTGCCTACTCTGTGTCATCATGCCCCCACCTCAGGCTTCTAGAGAATGCTAACACGGTATGGGGTGGGCCCTGGTCTTGTCAGACAGGTGAGACACTCCCGATTAATCATCTTATTTATATCCCTTTAAGAGAGACTGACCAGGAGGAGAGGAGAATGGTTAATTTCCCTGGGGGTGGTACTTTAATAATAAATGTATGCACAGTGCATGATGGGAACACCAAGGGGGCCCCAACCAAACTTGCCGTGGTGGGAGTGGGGAGGGCTTCCTGGAGGAAGCAAGGTCTGAGCACAGTCAGATTTGTCTAGATGACAGAGGAGACAGGAAGGTACTGCAAGCAGAGGGAAAGGCAGGTGCAAAGGCCTGGAGGCAGGAAATAACGTACTGTAGGCAGGAGCATGATAGGCAAGGCAGCAGGGCTCTGTCCTTGCTTGTGAAGCTCCCTTCTCTTAAGCCCCTTGACTTTCACGTAACCGCCCCCACCTTTATTGATTTATTTATTTTGAGACAGGGTCTCACTTTGTTACCCAGGCTGGAGTGCAGTGGTATGATCTTGGCTGACTGCATCCTTTGGCTAATTTTTTTTGTTTGTTTGAGATGGAGTTTCACTCTGTTGCCCAGGCTGGAGTGCAGTGACATGATCTCAGCTCACTGCAGCCTCCGCCTCCTGGGTTCAAGTGATTCTCCTGCCTCAGCCTCCTGAGTAGCTGGGATTACAGGCATGTGCCACCATGCCAGGCTAATTTTTGTATTTTTAGTAGAGACAGGGTTTTACCATGTTGGCCAGGCTGGTCTTGAACACTTGACCTCAGGTGATCTGCCTGCCTTGACCTCCCAAAGTGCTGGGATTATAGGGGTGAGCCACTGCACCTGGCCTAATTTTTGTATTTTTTTTTGTAGAGACAGGGTTTCTCCATATTGCCCAGGCTGGTCTCGACCTCTTGAGCTCAAGTGATCCACCCACTTCAGCCTCCCAAATTGCTGGAATTATAGGCATGAGCCACCACACCCGGCTTCATATATCCCTTTTATTTATTCATGCTTTAATATAAACATACATATAAACACACACACATGCACATATATAGTTTTGTGCTCAGCACCAGGTATGTGCGAGAGAAACACTCAAAAGGGTGCAGTTCCTGCCTCTTGGGCAGTGGCAGTCTAATAGGAGCAACAGCATCAAAAGCCACCCTTTGCAGAATGCCACGGGTGAGGCATAGCCAGAGCCCAGGAGTGCCCAGGCATGAGTAGCTAACTCTTTGAGGCCAGCAAGAGAGGATGCACAGAGGGAGTGACAGTGTCCCCTGGGCTTGGAAAGGTGGGCTTTCCAGATGGAGACGTGACAAAGGGCATTGCAGGCACAGGCGTGCAGTCAGGAGGAATTGTGTCTGAGAGGTAGGCAGTGGGGAGGATCGGGCAGGGAAAGTCATAGAGTCTGGACTTATCTGAAGGTGAATCAGGTGAGGAAGGGCAGTCATCTCAGGGTTTAAAGCCAGGCAGCAGCAGGATGCGGATGCGCGCTGCATTTTAGCAAAGCCACCCGAGCAGCAGCAGGGAGAGACAGGAAGGGCCTGGAAATCAGAGGGCCTTGGGGACTGTGGTGATGGTCCCTTCTTCTACTGAACCCAGCCCACCCTGTCCTCAGGTCTTGCACTATGTGGAGAAACCCAGCACGTTTATCAGCGACATCATCAACTGCGGCATCTACCTCTTTTCTCCTGAAGCCCTGAAGCCTCTTCGGGATGTCTTCCAGCGTAATCAGCAGGATGGGCAATTGTGAGGCAGGCCCCATAGCCCTGTGACCCCAAGTACCCCTAGTCACGGACCCCAGCACACACCAGTCTCTGCAGGCTCCATCTCAATTTGCTCACCTTCCTTCTCCCAGCTCCCTTCTCTCCACTTCCCATCTCAGCAGAGCCTCCGGAGTCCCTCCCCTTCTAACCTCATTCTGTCCCTCTTCCTTATCCATCCCAGTTCCTCCTCTGTCACTGCCTGCCTACTCCCCTTCTGGTCCATTTCTCCCAAGCCCTGAGTGTCCCAGAGACGTCTTTCAGAACAGACGGTAGCACACAGTTGGGTGCACACATGCTCGGGTGCAGACGTGTGCACGTGCACACACAGGCAGACATGCACACTCTCAGGCTGAGGCTCCCCTAGGAACATAGCACCCAGAGCTCTGCTTCCACAGTCCCATGGGTCTGCCCTCCTAGGCCTAGGAGCTGTTCCCTTCTAGGGGTCCGTGCCTTACCCCCACATCACGCATCTCAGGCCTCCTCCGCTCATAGCCATTTCTCACTTCCACCCGTGTCTCTGCTTCCCTCTCCATCTCTCCTGGCCTCTCTGTCTCTGTCTCTGCTGAGCTGGCATCTCTACCATCTCTCTCTCCCTCTCTTTCTGTGACTGTTTCTGCCCTCACCAGCTGCCTTGCTCTGGGGTGAGTCTGTCTGTGTTTCATTCCATCCAATGAGGGGGAGGGTAGATGGAGGGGATAAAGGGTTGAATGGGGAGGGGAATGTGAACGTGGGGGGGACTCCTTCTGGAATGGGGCAGGGATGGGAAGCAGGTCTCTGCCTGGGGCTCCCTTGTGATAGCACCCACCCGAGCTGGGACTGGGTGGGACAGGTTCCTGGAATGTAGGCATCCCTTTGGAGAGGACCAGACCAGACCTGGAGAGGGGCTTAGAGAGGTGGTGGGAATCCCTCCCACAGCTGTCCCTGGGAGACTGCGTTAGCCCCATAGTCGGGGCTCGGCTAGGGGACTGATGTCAGCCTTCTTTCTCTCTGCCAGGGAGGACTCACCAGGCTTGTGGCCAGGGGCAGGTACCATCCGCCTAGAGCAGGATGTGTTTTCAGCCCTGGCGGGGCAGGGCCAAATCTATGTCCATCTCACCGATGGCATCTGGAGCCAGATCAAGTCTGCAGGGTATGGAAGGCTGGGTCCCCTGGGAATTGAGACTTTGGGGTGGGGAGCCCAGGCCCTGCTGACCCCTGAGTCCCTGCCCACCTTGTGGCCCCCAGTTCAGCCCTCTATGCCTCCCGCCTCTACCTGAGCCGATACCAGAACACTCACCCAGAACGGCTGGCCAAGCACACCCCAGGGGGCCCACGGATCCGAGGTACCCACCCTGCCCCAATTCCTAACCCTCGGCCTCCACCCAGCCCCTCTGCCTTCTGAACCAGGATTCCTGACCTCGAGTCCACAGTTGAAGCCTCAATCCCTGCCCCTCCCCAATCCAAATACGGTTTGGGGTATTTGCCCCCAGGGCCTCTCTTCTGCTTCTAGGGAATGTGTATATCCACCCGACTGCCAAGGTGGCCCCCTCAGCTGTGGTGAGCATGGGGTCCAGCCTCAGGGCGGAGGTGGGGGTTGGATGGATGGAGGGTGCCCACGCTGCTGGAGTTCTGGGTGCTGGTTTCTCCACTTTGTCACAGCCTATTATGTGGCCTTGAGCCCGTCGATTCTGCCTTATCTGTTCTAGAAGGCAGTTGGATTTGGGGATCTTGCAAGTCCCCCCAGGGATTACGGTATATGCTCCTCTCCACAGCTGGGCCCCAACGTCTCCATCGGGAAGGGGGTGACTGTGGGTGAGGGCGTGCGGCTCAGGGAGAGCATTGTCCTCCATGGCGCCACATTACAGGTAGGTGCCACTGCACACCACAGCATGTGGTACCACAAGAGGCTGCCGGGAGGGCCTGGGTATCCCCTGAGAACAGAGAAGGGTGGACACATCTGACCCCACCTCACACCTTCCTGTTCCTACTGCCTCCCCGCCTTCCCCTGACCTTTTACCGTCCTCTTTGGCAGGAGCACACCTGTGTTCTGCATAGCATTGTGGGCTGGGGAAGCACTGTGGGACGCTGGGCCCGTGTGGAGGGTACCCCCAATGACCCCAACCCCAACGATCCCCGAGCCCGAATGGACAGTGAGAGCCTCTTCAAGGACGGGAAGCTGCTCCCTGCCATCACCATCCTGGGTATGGCTTCCTGGGGACCAGGGCTGGGGGAGCCCCACAGTTGATGGCCAGTGGCCCTGGGGAGCATTCGTTCCTCTGTGTGCATGTGTGTTTCTTCTTTTTACAAACAGTTACCAAGGGCCTGCTGTGTGCCAGGCCCTGTGTGAGTCACCGGGGACACGAGGCCAGGGGCACAGATGGGCAGGAGGGATCCCTCCCTGCTGGCAGTGCCCCCAGCTCCCTGCCCGTCCCCCCTCCCATGACCTCCCCCTCGTGCCCTCGTCCACACTGCAGGTTGCCGAGTCCGGATCCCTGCCGAGGTGCTCATCCTCAACTCGATTGTTCTGCCACACAAGGAGCTGAGCCGAAGCTTCACCAACCAGATCATCCTCTGAGTGGGGCTGCCAGAAGCCCCCAGCTCCTACCCACTGCCCTGGAGGCTGTTGCCTGCTTGGCCAGCCTCTGTCCAGAAAGGACCAGAGAAAACCAGGCAGGATTGTCACACGCCGGGGAGCAATGTGGGTGGCCTGGGGACTCCTGGGCTCCCTCCCTCCCGACTCCCTAATAAACCTTGTGAACCTTGGAGCCAGCACAGACTCTGCCTATGCCTGGGCTGGGGGTGGGGGCGGAAGCGGGGCAGCTGAGTCAGGCCCCCCCACATTAGCATTTAAATTGGAGTCGTTGCTGCGGGCTCATGAATAATGAATCTGGAGCCCTGGTAAATCTCCCCTCCCACTGCCTCAGCCTCGTACGCTGCTGGGGAGGAAGGCCCTCAAGGCTCGCTGGCCTGCCTGGCCCCCGCCTGCGCCCCTGCCTTCCTGCCTCCCTGCTCCTCCTCACCTGGCCTGGCTCAGGCCCCCGTGTGCAAGGATTCCGAAGGGAAGGGTGAAGAATTTCAGTTAAGCAGTGGGCACAGGAACGGGGGCCCGGAGGCTGATCCCCACAGCCTGCTCTGCTCAGTTCCCGCCGAGCCCAGCCCTGGCCGGTTTTCCGCTTTGCCGGCTCCATCTGCTCCCAGCTTGGCTTTTGGCGGGTTGGGGGTTTCGCCTCCGCCTGAGGCCTCCTGTCTCTGTCTTCTACTCCCCTGGCAGGCTGGGTGGGCCTGAGCTGGTCCCATTCTCTTCGGAAGCACAGTGGGAGGCAGACACCCTGTTGTGGGAGGACCCTTGCCACCTTCTGTCTCCCTGGCCCTGCCCTTTGGGAGCTCTCAGCCCTCCTCTCCCAGCCATCTCTCATGTTTGCCCATGACCCCCATGTGCCCCTCTTGGTGCCCCCCTTCCCCAGCTGTGAGTGCGGAGCTGTGTTGCCAGATAAGCTGGTAATGATCGTAATCCGCTAATTGAGAGGAATCTAATTACCCGAAGAGAATGGGGGGTGCAGGGTGTGGGTAGGAGAAAGGAGGGGGTCCTGGCAGCAGGCAGGGTGGCAGGCGGTAGGGTGCCGGGGCCTTGTTATTAGCACCAGGCTCTGGGACAGAGCCCAGCGTTTCATAGCTTCAGAGCCCAGCATTTAGGAAGCTGCACTTTTGCAGGAGCTGGACTGAGGGTGACTTGGGGATTGGGCTAGATGTGACCTCCCAGGCCCCACAGGTCCCGTGGGCTGTGTGCCAGCATGTGGGGAATGACCTACCCAGTGTGGGGTTTAGCAGTCCTGACCTATAACCTGCCCCTAGTTCCTCAGTTCCTCCTGGCCTGGCCTCCTGCCCAGACCTCCATTATCTCTCTGAGTAGGAGTGGGAGGGGGCTGCAGGTCCCCACTGTGGGTTGGGGTCATCACCCCAAGGAAGAGGCTGGGAGAGGGTGGGCCATGGTACCAGGGTCTAGGTCCCTTCCTCTCCTCCCCCCAGTCCTGACCCTTCTGTTCCGAGTGGTTGGCAGAGGCCATGGCAGCTCCATCATAAATATGATAATTTAATTATTTTCTCAGCAAAACACCGTGAAATCCAATAAGTCTGTGTCAGGCCCTGGCCCCCGGGATCCCCCTCCTAGACCCAGTGAGGGTGGGGACATGGCAGGGAGAGGCACTGGAAGGGGAAAGGGTCAGTGTTTGAAGCGGGGCCCAGCTAGTGAAGCTGAGGTCTTTGTAACACACCCCCCAGGTTGAAATAGTCACTGTTGTTGGGGGGGAGTCCAAGAAGGACATGCACCCCACTCCTTCTCAGCCCACTTCCGTGCTGGGAGGGACCTACAGTCCCATCCATCTCTGAGAGACCCAAGATGGAGAACCCTGCCCCTAGACAGGGTATAGGGAGCCCCCTTGTCCTCCACTGCTGGGACCCTGTGCCCAACCTTGGCTGGCCAGGTAGGGGTAGGAGGGTGCTGGCCCGGGAGGGACTGGAAAGGGAGAAACAAGAGGGAACTGGGGTGGGAAGGGGGGG